TTTTTTTATAATTGTTATATAAAAAATTTTTTAATAATAAAAAAACACCCCGCCATTACTTTTTTGGGGGACTGTATCTATAACTTTTTAAATTAACAGTACCATGAAGCCAAATACGTACTGTGGTAACTTCCGAAACTTTTTAATAAAGAATATTCAGCACCATAGTATGAAAATTGTTAACTTTTTCTGTTATTGTTATTGTTATAATATATATTTTTAAATTTATAATTCGCTTTCATTAAGTCAAAAATTACGTAAATAAAATTGCTTTAAAGACTAATACTAATAAAATACAAAAGCTTATTGTTCCCGGGAGCTAAGTTTTTCTTTTGTTGAATACAAATTCAGTTCCACGAACATTTCTTATATCAATATTGATTTATCAAGTTACTAAAATTTCATTAAGGATAACTTCTGGTCTTCGCTCGAAAAAGCATAACTTCGAGTCCTCGTAGAGGAAAATAATAGATAATCAACATTCCAATGAATAAAGCTCTGTGATAGAATCATTATTTTTATTAAATAAAATTAATCATTAAACTTTTAAAAATAAAAATAAAATAAAATTAAAAACATTGTCTTTATTTTCTTTGTTTAAAGCGTTTTGATAAAAGCAACAAATGTAGTAGTGCCTTGGTAAAGTATAACAATTGTGGAGCTTTGGTAAAAAGTCACATTTTATTTGCAAGGTTAGGGTTAACATTGGTTATTAGTGAGTGTTAATGAGGTATCGTCCAATGGTTAATTGAAAGTACTGATAGTATTATTGTAGTCGTAAATGTAAGGCTGATAAACGAAGATACTTGAGCTACTTTGCAAATATACTAAAGCGATTTTGCAAACAGTCAATAAATACAGACAAGAACCAAAGTAAATTTGTAAATTAAATAATGATAAGCGCCGAATTATTGCAATTAAATCACAAGAGTAACTCAAAAGTTAATTGTAAAAAGTTTATTATTCTAAAATAATTTAGCTTTAAATAAGGATTATAATTATTTATCTTTTATGAATAAATTTATAGTCGAGATTAAATTAGTCATTCATCAACTCTTTCTTTATTATCATTACTAGAATCCAATGTTTAAAATATTGTCAGCAATGGATAATAATTTCAAATTAATTAATTAATAATGAAAATTTTATTCACCTTTGTTGGCATTTTGGAGAAAAGAGCTAAAATCAAGACTATTTACTGAGCTATCATTACTTGTATAAATTTTTAAGCTTTTAGATTTAGCAATCTCTTCATCTAATATCCTACTTGTATGATATGCATCTGGATGTGAATTGTGTGCTTGTTGCAAAGCATTACCATTACCACCACTGTTTCCATTATCATTATTAAAATCAATTTCATGTTTTTTTGATTTTAGAAAATTTAAATGATCTTTTTATTAAACTATTATTGCTACTATTATTTTTTAAACTTTTATTTTTAAAAATTTCATTATACTTATTTATAGCAAATTCGAAAAGCTCTCCATTAGTTGGTCTTTTTGATGGATCCACATCCCAACACCTCTGCATCATTTGCAAGTAATCATCAGGCATTCCAGGTAGTATTGGTGGTCGTAAACCTTCACATATATCAAAAATCAAACGATTATTGTGAGCTCTATTGTCAAATGGTGGATGACCTGCAAATATTTCCCACATTAACATCCAACACTATAGATATCTGTTTCTTTTGTGTTCTTTGTGATATTGCCCCTAAGTAGTTCGGGTGCAACATATGATACAATTGCATAGACTTTATTTGATGACTTTTCATCAACTGGTCCACATAACCCCAAATCTGTAATATAACAATTACCTCCTGCCACAAGTATATTAC